AGAAACCTATTTCAGGACAACCATTCAGTAAAATATACTGGTAAAGTTTGACGAACATTTGTTTAAAATAAATGATGCTGACATTATTTGCTCTGCACATAATCCAACTAAACTTGAAGTTCTTTCTTTTTTAGTTTATTTCTTAATCCGATGCATTCATTACAAGCACGCGGTACTTGTGTAAGCTCAATTCCTTTTTTAAGGTACCAACAGAAGAAGGAAAGGCTTCTCAAGTTTCACAGATTTTAAAGAAACCATTACGCATAGAAATACAAGATTGAATTTGATTTGTCATATAGTCAGGGTAATGGAAAATAACTGGCCTTAAGGAAAGTTCATACTTAAGGCGAAAAAGCGAACACAAACGCGAATATGTGGCGTCAAATCAAATACTTGCATGGCAAATTCGCAAAAGTTGAACATATTTCAACTCGAGCGAAATTTCGCTGCAAAGTTTTCATGACGTTAAAGTCGCTTCACTTTCGCATTTGCCTGAGGCACTAGGTATAAGCCAGCCTTTATTCGCAAGTCAGCAATTTCGAATCAAACGAGAGGCGACCAATAAACTTCGTATGTATGGGAATGGACATGGTGCAATGGGGTCCGTCCCACGGTAGTTCGAAATAATAGTTAAACATACATATCATTCTGTACTGTTCAAATGAAGAAGCGAGGCAATATCTGTAATTACAGCAAAGTCGGGTTCCTTTCCATTTCCCAGTGTTCAAAACATGATGTCAATTCGGAGCACAAACCAAAATAGCAGTCTCGTAAATAAAACCTGTATTTATCCCGACAGTGTGTTTCCATTCCAGTGTAAACAACCGTCAAACTGTAAAGTTGAAAAGCCTAGGCCTAAGTGAATACTGAAAATAAGAAAACAGCGTTCCAATTTTAAAGGATATAATTAAAAAGCTTAACTCGGTTAATACTAAGGAAAGTATGCCAAGGGGTCGGATGAACCTCGGAAGACCACCAAGCGAAAGTACTACTTTACCCTGTTCAATCCCCAGCAGTAATTTAAGGATATAAAGTACAAAATATGTTTCTAGCTAGGGTCATTCATCTTCGCAAATTGCTTCTTTTTCTCCCAGAGAGACGTCAGAGTGACTGAGCACTACAAGACTTACTGCAGCTTAAATTATTCATCCTGTACTAAAACCATCGTCTTAATAGTTGATTCAATCAAAATACCCCACAGGGAATCCAGTGCAAGTACCTGAACACAGCTCTACTAATCCTGAAGCAACATATTTTCCGTCAGGGTATAAATTGCATATTCTGCAGTTACGAATCAGGATACTCGTAAAACATCTTCCTGTAAGGCTTCATACTGTGTTAAACCTTTCAATAGGTTCAATAACACGCACGTAAACATTTGAAAAAGACGCTGTGAAATAGGTGAAAATTGTAACTGATGCGTGGCCAAGAATACTTAAGTCTACACAATACGGGCGATTCACACTAGTGCGTCTCCCAGAGTTTGCAACGCGTTGGCCAGCACAATGCGCAAAATCTGTCGACCCTTTCCAAACGTGCATTGGGTCGACAGACTTCGTGCATTATGATTGGCCAACGTCACTCTTGAAAGCCCACTATCGTGAAATGCCCGTATTGAAATTTTAAAAAGTCACCAAGTGGATTTATACCTAGTCAGTCAAGAGACAGCAATCGAACTGCGTGAAGCACACTTAAAGTTAGGAAGCATTATGAAATCAAATATTGTTCCGTGTGATTTGCAAGAACTAAGTCTGAACACTTGAAACGAAGACTTTTGAATGAATTCATGCTGTATATTTGAAACAAAGGCGCCAAAATAGTAAAACTGCATTAAAGTATGGGAAACACATGAATGAATACAATGTTAAATCTGGCTAAGCAATGTTGAAACAACACTTAAAACTAAAAAAATAAAAATGAGTGTATAAAATCATGTACACGTAGTACAGTTCACAAACGCCAAAACTGGTTTTGGGGGGCAAAATACAAAGCGTCTCGCTAGAGGCAAAGGTTGTACTTAGAGCTATTTAATTATTATAGTATCGAGACTTCTGGTACCTACTAAGGAACTCCACGGAAATGAATTGATGTCTATTCGCCTTGATCAGAAGCACCCCTTCATCGGTTGAAAAGAGCAATGCTGGTCGGGAGTATTCGTTTTGTTGGTAGCGACAAAACGCAACGCATGCATCTCGTGGTCGTTCGTAAACCAGCGAAGTGAAATACTAAAGAAGCCCCAATTGCTGGGAAAATAGCGCTCTCTCCTGGTCTAGCTCGCGGGGCCCATCAAGGTAATGGACTGGCTGTATTTCACCACTATCTGTCAAGCATTATGACTGTTAAGTTCAAGTTTCAAATTTTGCTAAATGCACTTTTAGATGCTAAAAAAGACCAACAACTCTTGTTTTTGCCTCGTCTTCCCCAGAACTTAAAAGGTGGCGATTTATGTGATATGGTGATGCTGCCACGCAACCTTATCGAGCAGAACCTGATATGGACAATATAGCGGGACCTGAGCTTAACGAGGGATAACTGCACTGTTGATTTTTAAGACATCTCAGGGACAAAATGGGGAACTCAATCACACTTTGAAATCTACCGTATAACACTTTTTTCAACCAAAATAATGTATCATTAAATCTTGAAATGAGACCCTTTTGGAAATCGATGAAAAGTCACTGGAAAGCTCATACTACTTGTACTTGTACAACAGTAACTTACGTAGCACATGGCGGCTGTAGGAGTTAGTGGGGAGGAGACCGTTAAAAGGTCTTAACATTACATCTTTTTAAAATTGTAACTTGAAGGGCCCCGTTTAGCGCACAAATACAACCTCTCTGGTGGTAAAAAGGGATGACAGGGCAACCATCAACTGCCAACGGCCTCGTGCACTTGGCACGCAAGAACAAAACCTGTGCACGATGAGCGTCGGTCTTGTAAAAAGGTCCCATCTTTTTTTTCACTGTTGATGTCAGCGTCAGCAAACTGCTTTATGGCCCAAAGGGGGCATCATGCTAAGGGGGATAAACAGCTCTTTTGATTTCTGAGCTTTATATCACCCATGATGCCTCTCCGCTAATTCCTTCCGGGCATCGCTTGTACTTTATAAAACCAAAATGCGTGATTTGAACGAGGCAAAAACATCAAAGTTTATACAGAATGAGAGCAAATGGTTGTATGTAAAGCAACTTCTAGTAGCTTCGAATTCAGTGGACAATTCCCATACTACCCACGCCTAGAATGGCTCCTGATCAGTTAAGCCTGGCATAAGCCAGTAAAAAACATGAAGTATTGAGTTCAAGGCGGACGATTTTCTGGAGATATATCACACAGCAAAACAACAAAGTTGTGTTTTCAAATGCCCTTATGTGGACCCTCATTGTGAAACAGCTGCCAAAGCAACGACAAAAATTTTACTAGGGGGGGGAATTACAACCTCACAGACGGGATCGTAGGTGGAATTCACATGGCGTCGTTGTTCTTCAAAAAGAGGCAGTCATTAGATCTGACGCCTTAATTATACGGATAACAGCAATGGTAGAGTCTGCAATTCAGTATTTCACGAAAACGTAATGGCTACTGAATTGGAGTAACCTTACCTACAGCCCTTTTCTTGATTTTAATGTCAGCAGAGATGAATGATATTGACTAGTCCATAAATGTTCAGTAACCATAGCAATCAAATATCCTTCGGATGCATTTCTTTTGGATAGGTCGTCCTCTGACGGCATCCAGCCAACTTGACAGGTTTACTGGTAAATTAATGACACACTTCAATGAAAGTCCGTTATTATGCAAAATGATTCCAGAAAAAGAGCTTTTACATGGCTCAGTGACAGTGTTGAGTTTAAGGCAGTTCCTGAATCCATTGGCTGCGACTGGACTTAAAACACAATGTTGGTAGATAGTGTATGCCTGCATGCATATGCAAGCCAAAGGCTTAATTCCCTTAAGCCAAAGCCACAACTTTTAAACACAACCTAACACTGAGCGGTACCTTCAACGAACCAATCGCTACATGCAGGTCAAATATCAATTACATTATGTCAGTTTAATCTCGAAATGCAGTACATTTGGCGGGAAATGCAATCAATCTCTGACAAAAAAAAATGCCCATGTCGGGAAATAGCATTTCATAAAGATAGACAGTGAATGACACACCAAGGTGCAAAGAGAGTGATGATAGTTCAATACAGCCGCTGTTGCAAAGGAAAATTACAAACAAATGCATCCAAAGTGATGTGTAAAATACTTATTTTGCAGAAAATCCGGGAGCTCTAGCAAAGCGCGAACACTTTACGAACACTTTACGAACACTTTACAATCGATTCCCTCAGAGAGGTACCGAATTAACATGATTAAACCTACGCTGTAAAAACGCTAGGCAATTTTTGGGTACGAAGTGAATTGCGTTAACTGTGTGGGCAGAAAGAGCATAACACTGGATAACAAAATGGTTGTACAAGTAACATTTTCTACAACCGTTGGGTAAAAAGGAGACAAGTTTGGCCACATTTCTGGATATAAACTAAAAGTGATTGGGTAATCCGTCTGCCCAACAGATAGGCGATTCAAATGATACCGAACGTTGGACTAAAAATTGCTGATCATTTTTACAGTGTGCCGAGTTCTGTTATTTTTCATTGTCACACCAGGTCAAATACCTTAAAAGATACCATACAACATTATCAATGGAATCCTCTCTTGTTTCCGACTGTGACGTACTTGCGAACTGTGAAGAAGCATAATTGCTAAGTGACTCATTCCAACGTCATAAAGACATCATACAGCTTAAAGAGTAAATGTCACTTTCATCCATCCCACCAGTTTCAATACGCACAGAGGTTTTATTTCAGACTGGGCGCCAGTCATCTACCAATATTCTGGCCGTCAGTATAAGTTCTTGGACAGGTTTAGTCATTATACTGCCTGAGGTTGGAACCCGAGGAGGCTAAGCGATGTAAAGCAAATACCGACCGATGATGAACACTATTGCACCCTCAGCTTATACTTATTTTATTTACTTTTTCAGTTAAAGAAATGCAACTCTGTAAATGACTTTAAACAAAAATATTCAAAAGAAATATGAGAAACTTCTGTAAATGCCGGCAATTTTATTGCCATCTCTCCAAAATTGTCTAAATTTCAAAACTTCTCTTCCCCGAGAGTATGAAAAACACAACAAAACAGAAACACGCAAAGATACAGTACCCACAATAATCCTTCAAAATAATACACTTAAAATCCTGTATTCCTGAGAAAAAATCTTCTCTTAGGCTGCAACTGAAGGCTATACAACTAAAGAGAAGTGACCCGTCCGTCAGCTTAATCAATGACGTTGACAGGAAGTGGAGTGTTAGTTTGTGATGCAAGGAGCCGTTGTCGGTAGCGTTTGTTTGTTGTAGGTCTTGTCTCCCACGGATTCATTCGCAAATTTGTAGTCGTCAAGCAGCTTGTATGTCGCGGTCCGTTGTTGCATTTCGCTGAATACAGGCACTTGAAGGAATTAAGATACATCAAACAATCGATTCTTGTCAGCCCATTTACACAGCTTGCGTCGCGCAAGTGATGATGAGCATATTTCTGCCTATTCTTGTGCACAAGTTGGGTAAAGCATAAAACATATGCAAAAGCACCAGTAACTTCATGATGAAGCTAAGTACAAGACTTAAAGTTACATGAAGCTCAAACTTTACACTTTCTTTTCAAAGTAAACGCTTTTGAATCCCTAGCGCAAAAAAATGCATAAATACCTAAGAAACTACAGACTTCAATGAATTTTCAATAATTTATAAAATCATTTTCCTTAATAAAACATGCACGTGGTACAGATAATTTTGATGCTCTATGTTACCTAATAATGTTGTCCTTCCAGTAAATAAGTTACGAAACAAAGAGAATGCTACAATTAATTTACACAACAGACTTCTCACAGTAAATTCGATGAAAAACCGCAAGCTCGTATTGAAGGGTCTTTTGTGTTTTCAAAGTTATCGAAATTAGGAAATACTTGATATGAAAGATGACCATCTGTCAACCACTGGTCGATTTTGCCGGTACCCGGATATGTTTTGAGCACTGGTTGTCAGGGAAAATCGACCAAAAGTCGACAAGTGGTCGTCGCTAGGACATTCTATGATGATGATAAGATTACATAAAACTGGAAGGATTCTCACTGCCCATCATTACCACGCGGTCAAAGTCCATAAACCGTGACAATTTGCCAAGGGTCACTTCGCAGGCTCGAGAACAGCCATTAATTTGCCGTCAATCCTCCGACTCGTACATGTTAAAATCGGGCACGTGTGAGCGACAGAAGCGAGACAGTCGAGCCAGGAAGTTCAGCATGAGGGCATCATTCTGTGTGGCAAAAGCACAGACAAATTACCGCCAAATTGTCAAGGGGTGACAGCAACCCCAATTTTGTTTTGGCCGAAATAACTGAACGGCTGGAAATTTCGACTGGGAAAAACAAGAATGGACCACACTCGAGCATTTGGTCATGTGTTGTTTGTCTGCAACCTGTAATGAAGAGCTCATTCATCATATTTAGCCGGGTCAGACGTTAATTGATTGGCCTCGCGGACTTACAAGTGTCCCTGTTGTCTACTCCGTTTGTGTCACTTTGGGCGTCATTTTATCAATTTATTTTTTCAAGTGTATACACACAGCATCATCTTTAGCAGCACGGTGCCATTCATTTGTAATGCAGCTGCACTTCTACAGTAGACATGTACAAAGGTCAGTGGTGCTCTTGAAGAAGTGAACGACAAAAGTGTGCTGCAATCGACGCATCTCACAGCTTTAAGGGTGGCATAGAAAAATAGGCCTTTAAGCACACATATCAATACATTCATGGAATAGACCTATCTCATGAAATTCAACTAAGTGTGATAGAACTGCAATTAAATTACCTTCATGTGCCATGGCTTGTTCACGGGAAAGTTTTTGGGATGCATATTTTGCCGTTATTTGCCATGATGAAGTTATAGGCCTAAATCAGTATGCTAATTGAAACTCAGTTTCATTTCTGATTTTTCCAGTTGAGAGAACGAGTTAAATGGAACAGACACTGATGATTCGTCGATGTACTTGACGTCAAAGACAAGAATTACTACGGGTAAATCCTACTGTAGCAAACTTGCGTTTTGGAATGAAATGTCACAACGTACCGGTACCGTGTTTTGCCTCATGGTAGTAAGTTTGTATTCAATCTCTAGTGCTGTTTCTTTGCTGAAGGTGCCCCTCTTTCTTTTGAAATCTAGACTTCGCAAGGATAAACAAGGTGGGGCCATAGCAATAGACTTCCACCTTTGCAAAATCCCTTTTGGGGTATAATATGGAACAAAATTCAATGAAGTTGGAAATTAAAACAATAATTATGCATGAAATAAATGACCTTGCTATAATACATGTAATGATATCAGGGCATTTACTGTAAGACGCAAAGTATCTGTAACACTATCCGTCATCAAAAGGCGCCGATATATCATTATACCTGCACATAAAGCTCACAACATCTGAACATTAATTCCTGCGACCATCTCTGCCTAGGGAGCGCACTAGCCCGATGCTGCCGCATCAGTAACAATCAGTATCAATAACTCTATCTGCCCTCGAAGGTACCCATAAGTGGGGACGTAGGGATGACAACAGATAGGCCTAAGGGTAAAATATCGTCACAACACGTATCCGCTACCAGGATTCGAACCCCTACCCTATAAGAATAAACTACAAACCAAACCACTAGGCCACATGTCTGTTTATGTAAGTTTTTTTCTAACATCACTGCCCTTCCAACAGTACCCAACACGGTCATTTTTGTGACAAACTAGATCTGAAACCCAGGATGGCATTTCCATAGAATTCACCACATCCGCCTCAGTCCAAAACATCACGTGCTGTCAAAACGTGACAGGCAAAGAAGTATATTCCACGTCTCTTGCAATCTTGACAAAGGTGCCTTAAAGTTAAACGCATGCACATTGGCTTTCTCTCTGCAAATCCGTTCCCTTGGTACGATTTAGTATTTACAAGTAGGACAGTGTAATCACATTATTCCCTGTACAAAGAGCTAGGATGTCACTGCCCAAAGCACTGCACCGGCACAAATCCAGAACATCCATAGTACATGAGACACGGATTAGTAACACTTAATGTACCTGTGCTATGACAGGACGAGCAGTTTACGGAAAACTTCACTGCTGACACTAGCGTCACTTGTGTAATCACGCGCATTAATCCGTTCGACCTGACATCCTTTTACGGTCTCAGAGAGGTAAGGCAATTTCCTTTGGCTTCGCTAGACCCATTTCCCCTGGAAACTGGGCATGGAGACTGACCCACAATATCCATCACCAACGGATGCGAGGGAGTCGTTAAGTCTTTCTAAATGCGTAAAAGGGGATATGGCAAAGCGATTTTGCCTGAAAGAAGGGGAAGGACACTCAGGAGTCTTTAGAGGATCAGTACAGGACTAATCGGGGGAATTTAGAAAAGTTTGAGTCATCCCAAACTGCCAAGGATGCATTCCTTTTTCTGTTGATTCTTTTCAGGCGAATTGTAGGTCTTTGAAGACAACCTTGCATGCATCATGTTGCGTTACCATGTACTTAAAAATAATCTGAGGAAACAATTTCTTCAAGAGAAAGAAGCTTACCTCTGGACCAAGATACTCTGAAATGTTGCCATCTTTGAAGTGAGGCTTCGGTTGGACATCCAAGACTGAGTATCCTGTGTAAACAATCAAAGTCTTAGACGAAACTCGATCTCCCCAAATGAAAACATCGCTCATTTTTAAAGAGGACTATAGATTAAAGTTTCGCGAGGAAATAACCCCTAATTTTCAAATTACATTGCAGGTACTGATTAGTTTGCGGTAAGCAAACTGCTTGGGTGCTAAGTTTAAAATCCTGAAGTCTCTCCTTGAAAATTCTAACTCTTCACTTTACCAAGTCCGACATTTCCTGACAAGTTCACACATTAGCTGATATGAAAGTTTCCATATTTGTGTCCAAAGAATAAAAAGTATGGATTTTCCTGGACCAAAGTGAAATAGCTGAGTAAGTGTTGTTTGAAGCTCTGTATGGAAGTGATACATTACAACATACTTTTGCGCAAAACATGGGATCAAATCTTTGTATACATATACGCTCTGAGAAGAGTCAATGGTGACAAGAATTCTCGAAGTTCCGAATAGCATGCAGAAGCTGGCAGCTTCCCAATGACAAACAGAGAGTACCGGTACACTCCCCGAAACGTCGAGCAAAATTTTCTAACCACCGGCTCCTCCCTGAGCCAACGCTTCTCACCAAGAGTTTTATTCCCATGGTAAACAAACAATCTTCCTTAAAAGACTAAATTTGCTTGTCATGCAGATCTGAATTAATTGCAGGAAACCACTGACAAAAAAATAATCCCAAAGCCAAAATCCCTTAAGCTGCCGCAAATTGTCATCCGTTTTCTCCCCAATGAAAGCAACTTCTTCCCGAGAATGACTGGGGGAGGCTCCTTTATAGTTTGGAGGAGCACTTAACGGGCATTATGGGGCGCCTCCTCCAAACCCCTTTGGTGTAGTTACGTGTCCCCAGACCTGCCTTGCTCAAGTGCAGCTGCTTCTAAGCTTTTACCGTATCTTGCCGTCACTGCCTCTTCATATAGGAGCACTGCAAATGCTGCATCCTCTACGCAAACCTCATTTCTCTGGCTGAGTTGAGTGAGTGCCCTTGACATACAGGCTCTGCGGGTAATTCCATTAAATGCCCTTGTTATCAAAGTGTATCGGGCGGAAACACTGTGTTGAGTGTTGATTCACTTCTGTCTTTTCGTAGAAAGAAATTACGCTTGGGTCACTCTAACAAAATTATTCTATGCTGTTCGATATTCATTGTGAGAAAACATGGAGAGAAAAAAAGAGCAAAACAAGTAAACCTCAAGTAATATTTGCCTTCAAAACCTATCTTTTGAAGTTACATTATGCAGATTACTATTCAATTTTTTAAGCAGTTCGATCGAATTTTTAATAATACAATTTCATCTGAAGATGCTGTAATCGTCTAATATCTTGGCCAACTCTGACAGGAGACCAGCATAAACGGACAGTCGACAGTGACTATTAACAATGTTTAAATAAATAAACACCTAGATAAATACGTTTCAATACCTATATAGTATTCATCGGGTCCACACACTTTTATGTGTTGGCCAAAATATGTTTCGGAATGTAAGAAATCCTGCATACGGACTTACAAAGTCTGAAGTGCCGCTGGGGGAAATGGTGCACTATGCACACCAGATGAACGTACGCGCCTGCTAGCCACAAAGTAACCTTTCAGCAACTGCATGGCAGGGGCCGAAAACTCTACGGCGGTCTCGGAGGCAACTTGGAGAAGCTGCAGGTAAGAAATCGATGAATTAGTCATCGTAATCGTTTGAAGCTCATATCACAATGTTGCATGGTAAGACATCATAAACAGGCAAAGTCACATTGTTCTGCAGTATCTTCCAAATCTTTTACAGCTGGTCCAATGCATTTAAAAAGCAAGAGGAATATTTTCTTTAGATGGAAAGGAAGTTCTTAAGGGCAGCATTCATTATGGTTTGCCAGATCCTGGAGGACTTTCAATCCCGTACTTGATTTTCTCATACTTTGACTTTTTCTGATGATATTACAGCAAAGTGATTTTCATTCAACTTGAAAGATCAGATGCATAAATTATTATTTATCCAGCTAGTCATAAAATTACAGTTTTATAGCTTTCTTGTCAATACCTACCGCTAATGTTCTTTAATTGTTAGGAAATATGCTTTTAACCAATAAATACAATTTTCCAGTGACACAGGCACAAAGTACATGTACAAAATGATATACGGAGAAACACGTAAGTGAAGGACATTATTCAGGATGTTTACGGTCCTGGGGCAATTGAAATTCATTAGATTCTCCCTCACGCAGGAGATAGGGAGCTTAGCAGGTGCTTTTACTTTAGCTCCGGGATGTGGCGGTCTGATCACGCTCTGAAGAGTTAAATATGCATTTTGGCCTCTGCAAAATACATCAAGGTTACTGGCGACGAACATTCAGAATATTTCACTCTTGAAGATGCTGCGCCGGGCACTTTTCTACATAGACAGAATGCTATCTCCGTCCTATTTGTACTGAGTCGCATAGGAACATATTGATCTGCTGTATTTTTGGCAAGCATCTTGCTTTAATGATTCATGGAATGAGATCAATCAATTACCTGGTGATGGGAACCATTAATTACGATCATTTCGTGACAAGTAGGAGAAACTGCTAGACAAGAACAGTTCAATTTCAACAAAAAATTGTCAAACTGAATTTTTGCCGACAATATAATCTAAGATATTTTTTTAATATAGGCAGGCGCTTGCCAATTGGCCTCAGACCTCTTTAATTTCACTCGGAGTAATGACTGAATTCCCATCGCCCAGCAGATCCTTGTCTTGCATTGCTCCCAGCAGCGTACGGCGGACGATGCTCAGCTCCGCGTACTCCTCTGTGGTAGGGTTGGAACTGTCACACACCAACACCATGGGGAAACACCTGAACAGTGAAAGGGGGTTTATTTTACTTTATATCTAATGGCATTGTCAAATATCGCACAAGCCCCACAAATTGGCTTCTTAGTGGTATGGCACCTGCTTTGAATTCGGACAACTGATATCTATACGTATGTCATAAAGACTTGGAGATAATCCTTCCTCGGAAATACTTTTTTTTTTTCAAATGTAATGTATACTATTATTCCAAATGACACGTGCATTTGAAATTTTCAATTTATTTCCTCTCTAATGACATTCCTCAAGTTGAATTTAAGAGAATAGGACAGTGAAAATCCACAATGTGGAAGATAATTATGTAACAAGTCACGAGTTTACTCAAAATGACCAATATTACAAAGCAAAGAGGAAAAATATTACTAATTGTTATCCCAGGGAAAGGTGGACAATCAGTCACTAGCAATGGTTGGGTGACGGTCAAAAAGATTCTCGTTTGTAAACCAAGCGACACCTTAATCACCTCTCCTTTATTTGGTCATTACGTTACTGTTTCAGCCTTAGTCAGTTAAAGGGAATAAAGTAAAAGTCATTCTGAATCCTAATGAAAGGCTGGTATTTTACGCATCTCTTAAATTGTGCTTATTCTGAAAAAGGGATTTTTTTCTTTGAAAATCGGCCCACTGCCTTTGAAAACGCAAATACCATGACTCCCCAATGATGCGAACAACTTAAATTCTGTCGCCATAAACAGCACAACATGCAATCAATCTTTTTGAATTATCACAGCGATATTTCGACTACCTGTATACACCTCTTTAGTTTCCAGAGATGAAGGCTCGCATACAACATCCTTCGAGTTGCGACATGTACCTTATTTGTGACAATTTGTGCAGCATACAGCGCTGTGCATGTCACCTTGCATGGCTTGCAGGTACATGTATTATGCAAACTCCGTTGTGAAAAACACAAGACATGCAGATCCACAAATGTGATTTAGCTCCAAAATTGTCACTTTATTTTGCACAGTGAAGTGAGTCACTTACCCAAGAGGGTTTGAGATATGGACAGTAAAAACTAATAAGAAAATATCATCTTTCAGCAACTTGTGGTGTAATAAGAGCTTAAGATAGACAGACACATGCAGAAACTGAATGCTCCGGGGAATAAATATATCTGATTGAGAGATATCTGGGTGTAGACTGCGTGTCAAATAAACACATTATGAGCGTGTCACGTGGCAAGCCGATCAAGACTTTTTCAGGAAGGTTGACATTATGAACAGGCGTTAACAATCGGAAGGTGAAAAATATTTCAGTCCAATGAAATGGGTTGCTGTGGTGTAAAGTGGTTTTCACCAAGAATTAATAATGAATTCAGTATGGCTTGCAAACTGCTGACAGGTTTTCAAAGTCTCCCTTTTTATTTAACAGACTTTATATTTATAAAAGAAATTCCCGATTGAACTGATATGACGTTTATCCTTTGCAGCACCCTCTTTATTTCTCAAAAAATCACACATGCATGACAGTTGCAGACGTCTTTCTACAAATTTGGGGTCCGACGCATGACATCTTGCAGTACCTGACGTGTATACTTTGACAAGGGATATATTACTGAAATTGATTTCAAACTAATGTTATTTGTTTGGCAGGTAATTTGCGGTACTTATTCAATCTTGTAAATTAAAGAATGAGTTTCTAAACATAAAAAAATCATACACCTGATGTAACAGGGATGGGAAAAAATTAACCTCAAAGTTATGGAATGACTCACAAACTCTCCCTCTTGCATTGACAACATTAGCACTGTGCTGACATTTAAAGGTCTCAGTGTTTAATGTCTGGTGATGCAAAGTCAAATGATCTAATCTTTCAATTCTTCTGGCAAATAGATCAGCAGTTTCTCATGAAAACCGTATAAATGTTCTTCGATCACGTGCAGGGTTTTCTTCACAAATTATGCCTTTACTTTCGAGGGTATACGCAACTCAAATTCACTTTCATGCCTTTGTTTAGCGATTAATCCAGGACAGCGTCTCTTGTTTACCGTTTCTCGGTATAAACAAGAAAACTTAATTGAAGGAAGTTCATACTTCACGCAAAGGCGAAACCGAACGCGAATTTCTGACGTCAGGCAAATTCGCTTCGCATTTGCCTGAAGTATGAACTGGTCTTAATTTGTTTCTTTCTAGCCCGCCTTCCGTCATAATACTTACTCCAAAATTGATTTTCGTCGACTCCTCTTCGCTTCCTGTCAGGTAGTAGTACAAAGTATATAATGCTGAATTTATTACAGCAGATGTCTGCTTAGCAGGTGCCCGTAGTTTGTTTGTTTGGTTGTCGTACATTGCATTTCATCGATTCAAACATATTTTGGAATTGGGTTTGTGACATTGATTTTACAGGGCACGATTTGGTTTCAAAACAAATGATAATCTTAAATAAAGACACTCATGTGCGATTGAACGTGTACCTTTAGTTTTGTAATACAATATGGCACTTTGCTCTGAAAGCAACCACCCAAATCAAAGTTACTTTCATGACATCTAAAATATTGCATCCTAATTAGCACAGTCACAACGAAAACAAAAACACCGACGTTGCCGTCCAATTATACGCACTCATTTTCTATACATACTTCAGCCCATTCTCGAGGTTAGCATAAACCCTTAACAAAACCTGGGACGCTATAACTTTTTACATCTCACTGAGAATGGGAACATTTTACTGTCTTTAAATGACACTTACAGAGGCAGAAAATACCTCCACGGGATCCTGGTGTTGAGGGGAACACGCGTAACCCCATAGGTTACACTCAACCAGGAAGGTTTGTTGCTGCGCTGATGAACTACTTAATGTTCTTGATTGATCTACGTGGATGGCTCTGTTTTCCATCACTAAAGCAAAGCGATCAAACAAACCCAACAATGTTGAACAATTTGAGAGAAAAGGAACAAGACAAACCAATTTAAAAGTGATATACTGGGGAAAAATCCAGTACACTGTGCAAACATGGTATGACATGTGCATACGACTCCCGGGGAGAAATGTAGTCATCATGAAAATTCCCCCCCCCCAAAAAAGACATGTACAGAAAAAATCAAGTCAAAGCCTTTGAGGAAAGGGGGTACAGAAGTTGGAAATAATTGTTAATGTGGAATGATTAGTTCTCTATATGTAAATGCATGGGTTAAAAAGCTTTTAAATACTTACCTCTATTTTATAGTATTTGCTGCAATTTCCCAAGAAATGTTCTCCCCTTATGCTCTATATGCAACAATTTTCCAACTGCAATTTTCCAAGAAATGTTCTTCCCTTATACTCTACATGAAACAATTTTCCAACTGCAATTTTCCAAGAAATGTTCTCCCCTTAGGCTCTATATGCAACAATTTCCCAACTGCAATTTTCCAAGAAATGTTTCCCCTTATG